ACACACACACACACACACACACACACACACACACACACACACAGGGGCAAACAGAAGCCGGAGAGGCCCACGCACAGTTCCATCCAGGTGTGCAGCAGCCGGCAGCTTTTTATGGCCTCTGTGTGTTTGCCCAGCTGACACTGACTGCATCCAGTTTGGAAAACATCCACACGGAACACAACTGAGCATTTAGCTTCTTTTAACTCGGCATGTTTCCCAAACTGTCAGCATTACCGTGGAAGCAGCTTGGCTGCTCACCCCCCCCCCCTCCCTTCTTTTTCGTGTTCCTGTAAAATGCCGTCACCACAAAGTGGCCAGCCTCCCTGCCTGCGCCTGGATATTTTCTCATGTTTAAAGGTCTCTGGTTAAGATCTCCATGTGAGAGCACGTTAGCCTAGCCGCTCGGCTAATTTTAGCATCTTTTTGTTGTGCGGTCAGCTTTTAGGAGCTTCAGCAGGGCTGGTGGCCTCCATGGTGGCTTGATGGTAAAGAGGAGTCATCAATAAAATGTAGTGGGGTTGAAAGGTTTTATGACTCCGTGGAGCAGTGTGTGTGTGTTTGTTTGCTTCATCACAAACAGCTAAAATGGGGAAAAGAATGTTAAAAAAAAAAAAAAGCAGTCTTGGAAATAATAACAAGCCATGAGATTTTTCCAAGAACGCAAAACACCAAATAGTTCCATTTTGGTTGTATTTTACCCTAAACAAATTAGCTTCAGCAGATTTATCATCAGGAAGGCCTTTTTTTTTTTGTGCGCATGTTGTTTTTGTAGTCGTACTTTACCGGTGAGGAAAGATGACATCATGGCAACGGCGCTCTGCGGTCGGACACGGTTCCAGGACATGACATTGTTTTGGATCTCCTGTTTTTTGGAGCCCGATGGCAACCGGCGCCAGAGCCCGTTGTGGTGCACGGCCGTGTTTCTCTGAGCTGTTAGTGCAAGTATTCAACATAACAGGAATAACTTTTTCTACGTCTTTATACTCCCTCTTTCCATTTGTCAAAACTGTTTTAGTAACATGGCTGGGTTTCATGTCCTCCGGATTATTGTTTAGAAAACCTAAAAAAAAAGGTGTGTGTGTTTGAGTGTTCCATTTATTTTCAACAAGTGGCTGCTCTTCCTTTTAGGTGAATAATTATCACAAGAACAGAATCAAATAAATAGTTATTTACAGTTATTTGACTAATAGCGATCCATTAGTTGAGATCTTAGGTTGGATTTTCATGCCCAGGACAGGAAGTGATGTTAGATCAAAGTCATCATGGCCGTCACACAAAATCCGCCTGATTAAATGCCTTTAAGTGGTGTCAGGTACTCTTTTAGTTGCGAATGAACATGAACGAATCCCTCATCCCGGCTCCTACCTGTGCGTCTGATCCCTGCAGCTGTCGGTGGCCCACAGCGACGACTGGGCCCGCTTCGCTCGCACGCTGGTGGAGATCCGCGCCAACCGGGCAGACGGCGAGGAGGAGGGGCCTATGGAGCTGGCTTCATAGAAACAGAAGACTCCAAAAACCAAAGTGGAGGGAACCAGAGAACTGCTGTGCTTATATTGATGTCACTGTGGCATGTGCTCCTCGCTTCATTTCGGTTCTCCACCTTCATGACCACGTCCCCGTCTGCTCCGAACGAGGCAGAGCTTTCATTCCAGCGTTTGGCTTCGGTTCCCTTTTTTAGAAGTGCTCATCGTCGGGAAGTGGTTGAACTGTCGACTTCTACCAATTAGCCTGTCTTTAATCACTCGTTTCATGAGTTCAGGTAACGTGTTGCGGTGTACAAAGAGTGGCGGTCTCTCAGCCTTATGGAGATGTGTGTACTGTAACAATGCTTTGCACAAAAGTCAAACTAAAGCAGGGTCATAGACTAGATACGTACCGTTTACAAAAAGTCATGTTCTTTTATGTTGTGTTTCTTTTCTCTGTATTAAGCCCGCATGCGACTCATTTCTAAGCTATTCCCGAAACACGGCACCCGCATTGGAGCTGCTTTATGTTTCAGTCAGTGCGTCCGAACAGGAATCAAAGTGTGCTTTTCTGTAGCGAGTGAGAGCCTGGGCTCTGTATTCTACAATAACCTGTTGCCATTGATAAGAGGTGTGCTGTAACTCAGAGTGATGGATGTGAAACCTGCTGTGTTTGTCATTAAAGCGTGGCCAAAAAACCTGCAGTCTCCTGTGTTCAGTCCCTTTCTAATACTGGAAATCAAACCAGTGTGCAGCCAGTTTACTAATATAAGACTCTCTTTACTCTCAGTACACATGTTGCTGCCATACGTTCAGTAAGGCACAATGATTACACACCATATGTTACTTCTACATCCTCTGCACTGTGCAAGCTTAAATACTCTGTTGTAACACACCACAAAACTGATCTGGGCCCAGCTGTCTCAGATATATACACATCTGCACGCATTTAAACCAAACATCTTCCAACAGTCCATGTACAGATCGTGATGCTGCGTCTTTACATTCAAGTCTTTTTTGGTTGCATTTCTTTTTGTGTGTGGAAATAATTTGATAAGCACACTGTGGAAAGAGCAACTCAGGTCTGACAGAGCCATAAAGATATGAAAATATGTCTCTGGATTTCTCATATGTACATTATGTGCCATGCTGCTGGATCATAGTAATGTGCTTTTGGTCAGAAAGCAACTGAAGGAAGACAACGGAAAAAGCTGCAACAGTAAGTCGTCTTGTGAGGCGCTCAAAGTAGACTCCTGCTAGCCCTTCAGGGCATTTTCCTGAAGCAGTTGGACTCCACAGAAAATCAAATCAGTTGGATACAACTACGCTCATTTAAATGTAAAACAAACTCTCAGTGGATCTCTGCTAAACACCTCACTGACCTATATGATCATAACAGACTTCAGATAGAGTAAACACGGGAGAAAAACTCCTTTAAATAAATGACTTACACTATAAAAACAAAATGGGCCCGTCGGTGTCTCCCAGCCCCTCTGTTTTACACACACACCCACATGTGGAGCTTCATGGGGCGCTCGCCTCGGGGGGGGTTGCTGCCGCCGCCGCCACACTGTAGCGTGGGAGATGAAGTCCAAACTTGCTCTCGATGCCAGCGAATGTGGCCACGGCCAACCTGAAGCCTCCGATGTGGTCGGGGTTGGGCGCCGGCAGGCTGATCCGAGACTTGGGGGTGGGCTCGGAGCCAGCTGGCTTTCTGCAACGTGCCGAGAGAAAGAGAGAGAGAGAGAGAGAGAGAGGGAGAGAGAGAAAAAGGGGGAGACGCAAAGCAGGAAGACAGAAGCGCGGGGAAATGAGGGGGGAGCAGCATGTGAGAAGGTGCTCAAGTTAAAGGGGTAAAAGTGCAAACTGTGAACAGACGGCCGTGTTTATCACCATCTTTATCGAATCTTAAATGAACGTAACCGAATTGAAGTCTGCGTGCCACAGAAATAAACATCCTAATAGAAAATCAGAAGTGGAAAAGTTGAACGTTTCTCCCCCTGCGAGCAGAGCTAAATCAGATCCCTGAAAGATTTCACGCTGAGTTGTCGGACCCGCTGCCAATAGACAGCCGAGGAGCGTGCAGCCCCACTCCGAACGCTTACCGGAGCCCGTGGAGGCTGTGGGGGCTGTGGGGGCTGTGGGAGATGGTGGGAGGCCGTGGGAGGTAGGGCGCTGCGGGTAAAAGTGACGTGCGACGTGATGGATGCACCGCAGTCTCAGTCGGCCATTAAAAGAAGCAGCCAACTCCGCTGCCTGCGGGACCTTTTTAACTTTATAGAAAGGGCGAATTTGCTCCCAAACGCCGAACTATTTTGAGGAGCAAAATGAGCTCGCTTCAGTCCCAGAAGTGGCGAAAAGTGAATGCTGGGGGCAGACGGCCCGAAGATGGTGCAGCAAAACTCTAGAGTTTGAGAAAATTGTCACTTCCACAGATTTGAGGGAGGACTTCAGTCTGTCAGCTAATGGTCACAGAATCATTTTTGGTCTTGTGGCATTTCCCTCTCCTTAGTGGAGAAGCGAGGACACGCTGTGCGAGTTGGAATTATGCCCTTTTGTGCAGGAAGATAACAGCTGTGCTGCTCTGTCCTCACAGAAAGGCCCGCAGGGCTTAAAATGCAGCAGTGACACTGTGGGTTTGTGCACGTGAAGTTTGAGAAGCAGGGAAAAAATGGCCGTCGGTGGGGTGAGGGTGTGACAGACTTACTGTCCTCCGAAGTCGACGTAGAACCAGCGCTGCAGGAGCTCGTACGTCACCAGGGTCACTCCGAACTGAGGCGAGGACCGGAACACTCGAGCTGGAGACACAGGATGAAATCAGACTTCCAGCTCTGGCTGCCGCCTCAGCCATTTAGACCGAGGCCTTGTTAACCCAAAATAACTGCCTGGAAGGCTTTCCAAGATGGCTGCTGACTGGCTCAGGGTTTTTTTTTTTTTTTTCCCCTAACTGCCCCGTTCAAAAATGTTTTCATTAAACAAAGAATCAAGTGGAAAGAATAAACTGTTGTTTTGTCTCATCTAGTTTTTTTTTTTCTATCGTGTTATTTTTCTATTTCTTCCAGAGGACCGAACCAAACTCATTCTCTATGTGAAGGCACTGGACCGACTGGTCTCCTGTATGAAAATGGAGGCATGTGTATGACACAAACCTCTTTTTTTTTTTTTGGTAATTAGCAACATCAATTATGAGAGAATAATCCTTGATTGTTACATGTTCTTAGATAAAAGAGTAAGATCTGAAAAGGGGGTGAAAATACCAGCCGTGATTACCACCTGCAGTTATCTTCTCAAGCTTCATTTCAACCCCCAGCATCACACTGTGCTGCATGAAAGGCAAAATGATGGCAAAAACAGGCTTCGGAGCCCTTGCTACTCGCAGCCTCATCCTGCCTGAGGCTCTTCCTTTTTATCACGGGTGTACCTCCGGCTCCTTTCCAGAAGGCGCGAGGGCTCTCCTCTCTGAGAATCTTCCAGAAGCAGTCGGTCAGGCCGCTGTAGGTGGTCTGGCCGGCCCGGGCTGCCACCTGTAGCCTGGTCTTGATCACGTCCGCTGGGGTCACCAGAGAGGCGGCTGGCATGCCTGCGGAAAAAAGTGGAGGAGCTGCTACTTCCACTACTTTTTGTCTCTTTTAAAAGGCAGAAGGTGTTTGATTCTAAATATATGATTTACAGAGAGCAGCCATCAGAGACCGATTTAAAGCTCCGACGTGATCGTAACTGCATCTTATAGAGTGGATTTAGTGCTCTTTGTTCCCTCTTTTTAAACCCTTCTTCTTGAGTCTTGACCATCTCGCTGTAAGTCTGACGCATACATCAACTATACACAAGTACAGGCCAGTTCCTATCACTTCACCATCAACCAATACAGTCCATTATTTAATCTCGGGCTTTTTTCTTCCGTTCCTCTCTCTCCCACTTTTCTTAGTGCCGTTTGAAAGGGGCCAGACAATGGACGGTAATGAGAGCAATGCACACTGTGCCCCGCGCGCCGCTGAAAGTGACTGGCTGACTGAGGGGAAAGACTGCGAGGCCCCCACACCAGCCACTTCAGCCATGAATGGGCCCAATCATCGATGGCTGGGTCATTACCATCAAATGCCCTCTTGACGATTTACTCTGACTCCTTGGTTTTTGTGACGGCCAAACGAGCTATTCAGCAAGCCTGATCAACTCAGCATTAGGTAGCAGGCAGGCACCCAGTGGAGACTGACCACCTGCACTGTGCTGAGAGGAGAGGGGAGAGGAGGCGAGAGGCGAGGGCTCACAGGCTCCCTTTACCTAAACATTCCCTGCAAAATAACAAGAAAACATCCAAAGATTTAGCAGAAATTAAACAACAAATCCTTGTTGGCTTAACAGACAATAAAATACTTCCCATATTTCATCAGGAACCGTATGATGGTATGGATACTGCTTGTCAGTTGGATAAAAGAATGAATGCACCAGTGTCTCAATCAGTGGGTAAAATAAACACACAGACTCACAGATTGCATTGTTTGAGTACTCAGTAGTTCTCTGACTAAACAAAGGTCTCATCAGAAGTCATTTTGAGAAGCCGCGGAGCCTGCAGAGCACAGGTGTAAAAGACGTTAGTTCTGTGAGGTCTGCATCCTCAGATTTATTGAGGTGAAGCTATTCGTTGCAGCCAAGATGACCCGATTTCCTCCAAAGCAGTTCTGCTGCATCAGCCCGGATAGACCACAATCAGAGAGCGATCGCTATGCAGTCAGTTGTTTAAAGGCAGCAATCATGAGTTGAAACAGCAGCAATACAAAATCAACTGAGAAAGCCACCTATTCTCACAGTTCTTAGCGTAAAAAGCAAAAGGCTTTTCTTTAATCGAACTTTCTCTTAATCCTGTCTCTAAGGATGTCTTCGCTCTAATGAGCCATCAAACCCAATCAGTAAACAGATTTTTTTTAAACTGTTTATTTTTTACGCAAAAAAATGTGAAAATAATGCAAAATTTTCAAAATGCTAAAACCATCACCGTGTCCTCAATCTCAAACCCAAAGAAATAATTCTACCATCAAAACCATCAATTAGACATTAGAGCGTCAGTTTTTAAACTAAGAGCCGGACGCCTTTCAACTAGACAGTTATAAAAACTACAAAGAGCTATTCCAGCAAAGCTGCTGTGAGATAATGATCTGCTGCATGAAGGAATAATAAAAAATTGGAAAACTTTTGAAACTGGTAACAAAAAAATGTAAATGAAAACTAAATCTAAAAAAATTATACTTAAAAAATATTTCAAAAGTAAATAAGTTTGAAACTGAAATAATGTGAAGCTGGAAAGAAAAAATGGAAAAGCAAAAATGCACTGGTAACTGATTTCAAGGTGACAAAATTATTCTAAACTTAAAACAGTTTTGAAAAAAAATTTAACTTAAAAGAAATTTCAAATTTGAAAAAGATAATTGAAACGGAAAAATATTTTGTATATAAGAACTCAAATTTGGGGGGAAAATTAAACTGAAAAACTAAAAATTGCAACATAAGAATTGAAATTGATAATACTTAAGGGAAAAATGTATACAAAAAAATTTCATGTGATATTAAGTTGAACATTTGAAGCTAGAAAAAGATTTAACTGAAAAAATAATTTGAAAGGACATTAAAACAACTTTAAACAGACTGAAAAGAACATTTCAGACAAAAAAAACATTCTAAATATAAAATTCAATTAAACTAAATAAAAAATGTACAAATCATTTTAAAAAATCAAAAACAGAAGAACAAAATAAATATTTGAAACAAAAAATGTAACAGAAGAAATTTGAAAAAAAATGTTTAAATGAAAAGTGTGAAACTAAAATAAACGTCCATGTTTTTAATTTTCTAGAATTCAAAAACTTTCTTGACCGTTACGTTGTTTTTATTAGCTTTGGATAGTTGTTTCCTGATTGCGTTTCTGTTTTACATTTAAGATCAGTGTTCGAGTGAGTCCGTTGACCTTTGATCTTTCTCATGACAACTCTTCCATCGCTGCGTTAAAATGGTTTCACGCTTGTTCTTTTACTACTCAGCATTCCTGCTCAGCTGGCATGTACATTACATATCAGCCTTTTATGGTGACTCAGCAAAAATCCAAGGCCTCTTCATAGTGTGTTCCAGTGTCCACAAGCAGCAGTTAGACATTCCCACCGCTGTTTCGCAGAAAAAGCTTTTGCTACTTCTAGATATTACATTTTCTTTCCATTTCATTTTCTTTGCACTTGATTCGTTTCACATGCTTCAACCGACTTCAACAATTCATGTATAAAAATGTCCAGCTAGTTGAGGAAATCGTGCAGTGTTTTTGTGTTTTAAACTTTTTATAATATTAACCTTTTTGAGATACTTTGCTTTCACTGAAATGAATGGACACTTCTTTAAATCATAGCTTTTGGTTGCTAACTCCTCCCACAGCATTTGACCCCATTTATACATCAAAACGCTCAGCTACTTCTGGGAGGTACTGCTATGCTTTTTGTTCTTTATCTGTGTTCGGTTTTCAGAATATTCACGTAGGTTTGAACAAGCCCTCTGTCCATTAGGAATGGATGGAAAGGAGGGTAAATCCTTCTAAAAGATGCTGCTCTTTGAGGCATAACAGAGGCAGAACTCTACATCCCTGTGTAGAAATTTTGATCGGCTGTTACTTTTTCCTTTTCACTAATCAACATTCCAGCATACACATTACATTTCAGCCCTTAAAAATATTTCGGCAAACATTCAAGGCCTTTACTCATTACTATTCTGCTTCAGATCCCTCAACTATTGCATTTCTACCCTTTATCTTTTCCCCCCGCCTCATGTCATGTCCACAGATGACATGAAAACTGTTGTTTTGCAGGAACAGCTCTTTCTAGTCCTTTTAACAATAATGTGGCTAACAGCAGTCATATATGGCCAAGACAATGTTCTTTACAGACCAGAGTAATGCCTAGCTAAATAATGCCCTGCAAACCGAGCATGTAATTCAATTTCCTGTACTGACTGTAAAACATTAATTTTCAGAATGCAGCAACCGCCAATAAATATATGTGAAAGTGGGATGATAAATGTGTCGAAATAGAAAAAAAAAGAGAAAAAGTCATGAGCCTCGTTTCAGTCTGCGGGAAGGGGCTGCCAGTCTTGTGGTGAGAAACCGGCATATGAATGGAGGAAGGAGGCAGGATTTATGATTTTTCCATGTTTTGCCATGCCTCTACGTCAAAAAAAAAAAAAAAGTCCTGCTGACACATCTCAGAGGATTCAAAACAAATACTGAAAAGTCCTAAAGCATTTGGGCTTGGCAGGGCTGTCACTAGTTCTTCTTTAGGGCTAATTAATTATGAGGATGAATAAGTTGTCTGGTCATCAGTGGCAATTTGTTCTTATTCACACTGCTCTGTAATGACTAAAAAACAAGGTTGCTCGCTGTTTCCCAGGAGCATAAAGCAGGATACTTTATACTTACTTGCAAAGTAGCCATTCATTAAGTATGTACAGGCATGTCTGCGTGTGTGTGTGTGCACATGTACAGTGTATTAAGATTGGAAAGCCTTCCTGCTGGCCTGGTTGGCAGTCATCTGAGGCGCTTCCCTGCAGCCCAGCTCCAAAACCCCAGTCCCCAATCACTGTGCGGCGCTCTAATTAGCAGCTACCGCCGTGGAGCCTGTGGTCAGATGCTGCTGAGCCTCCAAACTCTGAGCCCTGCTACTGTTACTGCTCTCACACTTGTCCAAAATGGGATCTCACCGATGCCGCGTCAGAAACATTAAGGATCAGCACATGAGAAGCTTTTAATCCTCAGTTAGAATGCTGTCATATGGTCAAAAAGTTGATATGAAAAAAACAAAACAATAGAAGGTTAAGATAATATAAGCCAACACGGAGTAACTAATTCCACAGGCGTAAAATAATATCAAGGGGAGACATAGTAGAGTAGTCGCAGTAATAAAGGGTTTTGTAAAGTAAATTGTTGGAACAGACATGATTGGAAAGTTAGAAAGGGATTGTCTACTGGACACTGGAATGTCTTTATCTCACAAGTATCTGACAACCTGCATGTTAAAGGGACTCACTGGCAGCGGTTTACCCACAGAGATTATCACTTTTTTTAAACTAAACACTTTTGGTCCACTGTCATGGCAACATTTAGCTCGGACCATCAAAAAAGTGTTTAAAAATCCCACCACATATTATGTCGTGTGCTTGGCCTGGTTGAACTTTACAGTGTGCAGGGATCAATGTTCATGAACACATTAGAAACCAAGTCTGGCACAGATAGGAAAACACAGGATAGGGTTATATTCCAGTCTGATACATCTATTCACATTAATATTTCAAAACAATTGAAAATTAAAGGTTTATTCATCAGGGTAATCATGATGGAAATCTCTCTTTTTATATCAACAAAGCTACTGTACGTAAATATTCACCAGCAGAAATTTTGTATGAACAAATCTACATGTTTGTATCAGAAACATGACTGAGCTGAGTGTATTTATCACTATCTTCCACGTGTGCAGTCTGATACATAGACAAAATGAGTTCTACTGTTCCACTGTTTGGGCTGTGTGTGAATATACAGCAACATGTGATATATTTATAAGATTAATAGGAAAAGTAACTGAGACATTTTTTGTGTGGCTTAAATATATGTGATTTCTTTTAATGTAATCTAATTTCTATATGTAGGTCCATAAATTATACTAAAACAATATATTATTTTAACTACTTTAGGTTCTTCAAAAGAGTATATAAATTAAAATGAATGAAAAGATTTATTTTCAATTGCGAAATCGAATGCCTCCATCCATTTAATTTATTTTTCCCACATTCAAAAATAAATATGAATCTTTTTATTTGTATTTATAAATCCCTCTTACATGGTGCCTACCAAGACCTGTTTTACTTGTTGAATCGCTTTTGAAAATCTTTTGGGTATTTTTCACCAAATTTTGATATTGGTCCATTGCAGGATTTTTTTTTCAACAAGAAATGCTGATAAAGCGGAAAAAGGAAGTGCTTTACCTGCAAGAGCTCCAGCAAACAGCATTTTGCCTGGCCCTATCGTTCCATCCTCCTCAGTGAGGTAAGCTTTGATATGGGCGTAGCAGGGGAAGTAGATAGCTGAGAAGGGGATGTCCCGCAGAAAACATGCCTTCGAGCCCTGGAGAGAGAATTAAACAGCAGGATAAAGGCTGGGCAATGGGAAATAAAGGAGGAAAAAAATGTGAGTAAATAAAGGAGAAAGCAAAGAAAGAGTTATGGATCTCAAGGGATTTGAGCCTTGATTTATGTCTTGGGTTTCTAAAGATGGATGGTTAATCCTAGCCCGCAAACTGAGACTCTTGATATTTACGTATCGAGTGATGTTACCGCCAATAAAACTCCTTCCAATGGACTCTTGAAGGCTTAAAATCAGAGTGAAATATCGACTGCAGCATGGCAGAAAAATAATGTCTGCCCATGTCCTCAGCAGCAGGTGAGGGGGGCGGCGCACACCGAGCAAAAAGCAGGGAAAGACAGACTGGCTGACGAAGATGGCTCCTTGTCTGCCACTGTAAACAACACTATATCATCAAGCCTATAGAGTTTCCTGCCGTACTTCAAACCTGTTGGCAAACTGCCACCTTTTTGACATGGCAACTACAGTCAACAGGAGGCGTTTAAAGAGTTGGGTAGAGTCTCCTTGTTTTGGACAGGCTTCATTTAACTCCTGTGGGATAATCCTTTGGTTCCCCCACACACACACATACACACAAAGGATTGGCAGATACCTGGGATATCTCTTTCCCTTTCTTTCCTCTGGCACTTCTTGTATGCCTGTCCCTCCTGGCCGGGGCCCGAGCGACTGCTGAAAGCTGGGAGATTCTATCGAGGCAGGACAGACAGGCAGCGTCACAGGGACTATGACGAGAAGCTCTGATAGCACAGTGATGGTGCTGTGTCGGGTCATTTACCAGCAGCCGGCCGAACCATCTTTTTTTTTTACCACAGGATGAAATGCATATTCTAGTTTGGTGGTAATGAAAATGCACATCTCTGTCGTACACGAGGTGCGTGCATCAAACATCTTCTGCCTACAGTGACAGCTTCTTCCCAGTTCTAAATGGTGGCGCTAGAGCGTTAACCACCCAACTAACCGGTAGCTCCGGCGGAGGGTGAGCGTCAGGATAATTACCCTGACAAAGGCAGCTCTGTGCCTGGGTGCAGCCCCTCCGGAGCCAGCCCGTCTGGGGCTTGCAGGCTGGAGCTCGTCTCCTCCCCACCTCCCCTCCTCCACAAACGCCAACAACACCGCTGCTGCTTTCTCAGTGCACTTTGTCTCCTCTCCGTGCACCAGGAGACGAACGCAATTAAGCCCGTGCGCGAGCAAGAACGCACTCTCATCCACTCATGCCATATGTAGCGAAGTGGACATGCACTCCGGCGGTCGTAAAATAGCAGGGTTGAGCTCGCGGTAATGCTAAAAGCGACAGGTAGGCAGGTAGACAGAGACGTAGACGGAAGGCTCCTCATTCTTTCACAGCTTCGTTAACAGGACAGACAGATTTACAGGAGGCCACATCTGCACACAAAACCACTCAGGGACGCTCGGGAAGAGGCAACCAAGCGGTCCAGAGTCAGGAATTTGAACCATCTTTGGAAACAAATATTTCAAACAAAGAAGAGGCAAAACAAAACAAAAAAAGAATAAAAAAACAGAGTCTAATCACCTTATTTTAGTAATTTAGTAAAACCTTATTAAGTAAAACAAGACTAATTAATAAGGCCACAGGTATTAGAATGACATTTTCAAAGCTGATTGTGTTTACATGTCAGGCAGAATCTCTCCTGCCAAGCTCCATTAAGATTTATTTATGTAATTCAATTAGGCATGCTCCATTTCACCCCGAGGGCTGAAGTCCTTGTCAAACCTGTTAAGCTGCTAATGTTAGCTGCGTCCGCAGCTCCCTCACTGATCCCTGCAGCACTTCTCTGTACCTTACTGCATCAAATAAGAACAATGCAGCAGGTCGAACAGATTGATGTCTGAAGTAGGAATATTTATAAGAATGATTATTATCATTTATTATGCTTACGCAATACATCAGCTCCTAATATGACTAATCTTTCAGGCTTTCTTTCTAAACGTGTTGGACACACAACATCACAAAAACGTGATATGTTCAAACAGTGCGCTGTAATTCTTAGCTCCGTGCCACTGAAAAATACCAATTACGGCAATTAATGTTAAATACAGCTTTTAGCATAAATTGTGCCTTTTCTTGTTCTCCAGCGGACCACATGGAATTGTTGACTTAAATGATAGCTGATGGGGTAACTTAATATGTATAATTGTACGACAATTAATATAAAAATCACATATGACTCCATCATAATAGTGATGAGAAATAATGGACTGTTGTGAAGTTGTGAGGCTAATGAAAAAAAAAAAAAAAAGAATGTATACCGCTATTAGCATTTTAATTTTCTAGAAACAAATCTGTCTCAAGTTCAGTGTTATGGCTCAGGGTTTCTTCAAAGAGGTGCATTTAAAGTCAAGTGGCTTTTGAAATTACAATAAACTCTGTAGGTCCTCATGAGCTGTTTGTGTTGCTGTAGTATACAGAACTATCCACACAGTTTTTCCAACCTTGTAAAGTCCAAAGAAGCCCAGGTCTCTGATGACGGACAGAGCGCTGACCCTCGGCCCTGTGGTGATCTCTCCTGCCACCTGCAGACGGATCTTTACTATCTCCAAAGGGTTTGTGAATATCACCTGCGATCCACCGGCCTGAAGGAACACAAATAAAAGAAGAAATAGACAGAATTAAGTCCGTGAAAGCACTTTTAAGGTTAGGATCTAGAGTCTTCACAACTCAATAAAATAAATAAAAACATTGTTTCAGACACTAAAAATAAACGTGTTGTATGTTACAGTAAAGCTGTGCGGTCAAAACAGTGATGCAGAGTCAGCAATCATCTTGAGAACACACATGCAGAGAGGCCTGCAGCGGAGCAGCAGGAGGCCCAGCTGATGCATTCAGCTCAGTCAGGTGGGCCGGGGGGCACTTTCTATCCCTAACCTCTAACTTCAAAACATGTACTTGTGAGAGGAGGGCAACAATACTGAATCAAGTTCAGACTGGCTGCTTTTGCTTTATCGGGTCAGCAAGTGTGAGGCGCCGGCAGCTATAAAGTCGCTCTGAGACAAACGGCTTATTGTCAAGTCGAGGAATACGACAGCCATAGTGAGAGTTTGAGGATGCTCATTTGTACAGCGTGCTATATTTCAACATGTTTTTAACATTTTTCTCTCAGAGCATTTCTCTTCTCCTGACTCTTTTTTTTTTCTCCCCGTCACCTCCTTTGACCTTCTTTAAACGATCTACCTCATCTTCTCCAGTGCTGTCTATATCTTCCGACAGTTGCCAGTGGTTACTGTAGCTATAGGCAAAAGGGCGGCACATCGTAATTAGACAGCAATCGGTTGCCATGGTGCCATTTCTGGCTTAAATAGGCCTGGTGTGTTTGTTGTCGTTTCTCTCCTTGTCTCCCCCTCCTTCATTTGGTTGGTTATGAATGATGGATTGTGCTTGTCGCCTCCTGCCTTACGGGAAGGCATCAAGCCTCAATCCGCAACATTGGCAGCAACATTTGCCAAAAAGTCCCCCAATTTTGAGCGTTGCTATATATTGCCTGAGAGAGGAGAGAGAAAGGAGCGAAAGACAGAGATCATAATCGACTCATTGAAGGTGTTTGCAGCTGTTTTTCAAAAAGCAGAAAGTATGGTGGGCGACAGTTTCTCTTTCAGAACCAGCAAGAGTGCTGCTGCAGCATCTCACAGCTAACTCTTTGTGACTTGTTTTATGGAAATAACCTTGTTGATTACATGCCGGCTCAAAGGGTGAGTATTAAGAGGCTATTGGCCCCGGTCGCCAACAGTGTTGGCTGCTTCAATTGGATTCTAATGAGAGCAGAGAAGGAGGAGCGGGTGATGTTGTTTACTCAAGGGGAGTAAACAAGAATAGGGCACACGTAGATGAACCACAACATGGGATTTTAAAAAAGTGACAGTTCTGCAGTGTTTTTCTGTGTTTCACCTCCCGACATTGTGGTGTGACTGAAATATAAACTGCTGCGTAAATGTTAAGGCACCCACTGCTAAATGTGAAATAAAATGCCCTGACTTTAAAAAAAATATACATATGATTGATTCATGAGACCCTGGAGGAAGGTTTAGATGATAAAAATTTGTGGGGTTTAATGGCCCTTAAACATCACTGTTGTGTAACTGAACAGGGACCTGTTGTAGATTTTGGCAGACCAGAGGTGCTCAGACACCGATAGTTTCACCTGAGGGAAAACTCCTCTGAGGCCTCACTGTCAAAACCCACTATCGGACGTTTGCAACTAAAAACCAAAACAAGGCTGATGGTTTTCTGAGTGAAGTGTGTGTTTGGCAGAAAAAGGTCGGAGTGTTTCATTGAAAAAAAAGAGTCCCTCCACCTGCTGGGCCCAGTGTTGGTAAAATCATGGTGCAGTGAAATGTTCCTAAACACACCGAAAGGATGTATGCAAAACTCCTATCACAGAAAGAATGACAGGAACATTAAACCGACTTTAAAAAGTTCTACCAGCTGATATTTTCTCCACTGTTCTTAAACAAAAAAAACAAAAAAATATCCATGTTTCTTGGCTACGAGGAATGATGGCGACATGATCTGACAGAAAAACAGACAAATAAACAAAGAGATCTTATGAGAGAAAGAGTGAAGGAAACAGAAGGATGAGCAGTCAAAACAAGAGGAGTGAGGGAAGGTCGAGACTGAGGAAGGGAAGCTGAGGGTTGTGATTATGGACTGACAGCGTCGGCAGTGCTCTTATGATTCCCAGGTAATTACAAGGCAAGGTGATCCTCGGAAACCTGGGACGTCAGCACCTTAAGCACGCATCACAGGTCCTGGCTGCGTGTTTGCACCGCAGGGAAAAGAAAAGCTTAGTAAAGACTGATGATCCCTCCAACACAAATACACACATGCCAAACCCGAGATTAGCACCAGCTAAAAGCATTTACCACTACCTATTAATAATCGGGCTGGGTGTGCATGTTTTAGATGGACTGATAATGATTTCATCATTTGCGGCAGGCGTGAATAAGAATCCTATTTAAAAAATCGGACTTGAACAAAGTGTTACTATACTCCGAATAACAGTCCTAACCCCAGTTCTGCTTTCATTAATGACCCAGTAAGTATTTTGTGTAACGTAAGTCCAAAAAATGCTGTCCAGTCACTGCCAGATAAGCATCCAGATAGCTCTGTAAACGGAGCATGCCATTCTTACCAAATAATCATTAGAAACTGGCAACCACACAAGAGCTTAATGGTGCTGAGCCACGAGTTTAGAGGGTTAGACAGGAGGGAGAAGGGGATGAAGGAGAAGGTGAAGAGAATGGAAAGTTTAGCAAAAAAGACCAGAGGGGCAGATAAACCTTAGACACAAAATACCATTTTAAGGGACATGAGGATGTAGCAGAGATAGAGAACTACCCCCTTGTTCTCTCTTTCTGTATTTTGTTTTATAGACTGTGGATGTGCTGGTTTGGACCAGCTCTGTGATCCAAGCCAACACTTTCACAGCTACCAAATGATATAAACAGATTTCATGTGCTGTGGCCGGGGGCCTCACATCATCAGAGTTCAGGGGGGTTTCGAGCGTGTGTGTGTGTGTGGGTGTGTGTGTATGATAAAGTGGCAGGCAGAGTGCAGTGCCAGCACTAACACGGGGCCTCAGCCAGGATGAAAGGAGCTGTCATGACGGCTCACGGTGGAAAAGAGGAAAAAATCCATCCAATCTGCGCTTCTCTCCTCTGCATTTATCCTGTACTCTCTTGCTCTCTCTGCATCGGTTGGGGTTCGGCTTTTAAATCCATATGTATGGTGTTTAAAAGGCAAGCATGACTTTCACACCCAGGACGGAGCGGAGCCTTTTTATTTTAATGTCGCCGCTGTCCTTTTTCCACCCCTCTCCTTCACAAAACAAGATCGGCTTCCAGGACTCAAGTTAAAGCAGCTGCAGTGTGCCAAAACATTTCTTAAACATATTCCCAGAACTGGTATGGTCAATTGAATGCGCCCGAGTGGAGCTAAACCCATAATGACTTGTGTATCCTGAAATACTTTGCTTTAGTGATCAGCATCAAAAGAAGGCTGAGTGAAAGAGCTTCTTTCTTTTGCTCCAGCTATGGCTGCCAGCCTTGGAGGACTCTCTGTTAGTGTGTGTGTGTGTGTGTGTGTGTGTGTGTGTGTGTGTGTGTGTGTGCACTGGGGGTAGACAGTGACAGCTCAGTGATCAAAACCTATGATGGGAAGGGAGCAGGTAACAGACTGGTTGGGGCTGCATGGGACTAGAAGGGTGGGGGTGGGGGGGGGGCTCAGGTAGCAGCTGCTGTCAATCTTCCTCTCCTCCCCAAAAGTGTTTGCATGTGTGTCTACACCTGTGCGATCTTCAATTTGTTGCACGTGCACACACTTCTGCGAGCATGCACAATCCGTGTGTTTGCTCTTTCATGGGTAATCTTTCGAGGTTCCATCAGCAAACAGCAACTTCTGGCCTCTAAACAAGCATGTTTCTGTGTGCCTGACTGTCACAGGGGTGGAGCTCAGTAAACAGGTCAACATAGTTAAGGGACCCGTGCTGCCTTCGTACTGTACACACTGCCTGTGAGCTGCACGGGATCAGTTCTGCACATAAAGCCAAAATGAAGACACTGAAGTTTATAACAATGGACATTTTCAATTAAGATAACTGTCAGACACTTATGGAGCTTTCAGAGTGAATACGAGCAAGAAACAGAGGAGTTATTACAGCCGAGATGTGTTATTGATAGATCCTAATTGACACTCCCCATAAGTGGTCAAAACATTTTTAAAACCCTGCTGTTTAAAGTTTAGAATCCACATATAGAAACAATCACATCATATGCAGTACCTCTAAAAATGTTTGATTCAGTGCTTTACTGTGTCCAATTCTTCGACTGGTGCTGCTGATTCCATGTACCCCGTATCTGGTTTTAATTAGATTTAAGAGGAATCAGCGCATGCCTTGTTCTTTTTAAAAACAAAAGAGCCATTTATGTTTGATAGAAAACAGCGGCGCAGCACAAAAGCAGACTAAATTGTACTGTCTGTGCAGCTTCATGTGACAATACTCTTTTATGATCCAAAACACTTTGTCAACATATCGCTTATTAACAATCTGCCAGTATTACTATGACCAGCATGATATTGCACATCCTCATATGATTGAGCAGGATTCTACATTTGGGGAAAATTATGGGTTTTTTTCTGACAAACACCTCCAAAACTGTTTGTCCGATGTACTGCAGACTTGATGGGTGAGTGCGTGAGGATGTTTGACTGAGTGCTCTTGTTTTGTAGAAGCTGTCTCTCTTTATATTTTTTTTGTGGGTTTAGGTTGGAGCTTTGTTGGGAGACATGCTCTAAATGCTCTATTCAATGATTTGTAACTTCACTGATGATACTGCAATGGTGTTGCACTCCCCTGTGACCTCATAATGATGTCACCAGGTTAGACAACACGCCTCTGACAGCATACAAATCTGAGACAGTATACCAAGATAAAAGAGAAACTGACAGACACAATTGTCCTGTGATGGGATGACCCAACACTAATCCTTTTTAGTGGTACTAACAATGTAATAAAAAAAAAAGGTTTAAACAGTTTTAAATCACATGCAAGTTTGCCAGAATTGGTGTGGTATTTATGCAGATCTCCATATGAAAACACAAGTCATATTTTGACACACATACACACGTTTGAAACTTACACATCCACCAGCCAGGATCTCAGCAGCCAGAGGGACTGTCCCATCTTTCTGCCTGGTCTTTCCTCGCACAAAGTCATTCACCTGGAGACACAAAACTTTGATTTCACAACAGTACGACGGCAGCTTTTGCACTGCATGTGAATGGGGATTGTGTAAACAGGAGGCCATGTCTGGAAAACTCAATATTAAACAGTAAGCAAGAATTGCAATATGGTTATTCAATCTGAGACAATCTGGCACTATTCACATTCGCTTACAGCCACTTTGCAGCAGCCATTTGTGATCAAAACAAGTTTGAAGAGACAACCACAGGTAGCTGAACAAACTCTAAAGGGGTGATTTGAGCTGACAAACTGAAAAGTGTGACAAGCTACAGTTTATCAACTTCTCTGTGGAAAATGTCATTTAAAAGGACAGAGGTGTTCCTAATCAATAAGACCTGAATCCCGACTGTCTTAGAAAAGCAGCTGAACATAAAAAGAAGGATTTTGGGAAGACGGAGACAGGTTATGGAGGAGTGTACAGACACAGGTGAGCCTGAAGACAGACGCAAACTGGAAAACTATCACTTAGAGAACAACATGTGGGAAGTGTGGTCAAAGACGTAAAAGATCACAGGCTTTCAGGAAGAGGAGGACCAGACTGATGGAAATCTGAACGGAGCCATTGAACTGAACTTGTTTTGTCAGGTGACTGAACTCAGAACAGTCTTGAAAAAGCTATTTCACTACAATTTTTTATGCAGCAAGATCATTTACCATATTGTGAAGATAAAAACCTCTATACCGTTCAGTTAAGCTGTCTATTTTCCTTAATTGACTACTACTCACTTCAACTATCAATTTATATAATATTGTTGTGCATTTAAAAGAACCCAATGATAAAAATTATGCTGTTGCATGATGACACACTAATACGGATGTTTATTTTTTCCCTAGACAATATAATAAGCTTAGAAATGTGCACACAACTATTTGTCTTTGCATGGAATAGGGTTGAGCACAGAGTGGAACAGGTAGATGGAAAAATCTAAATGCAAAATCTCAGTGATGAAAAAGAAAAACTTGTGTATCTCCGTCTGTGAATGGCATGCATGTGTCTGCACGTTTTCCAACACAGTGACTTACTGTGAGTTTTATGGCTTTCTCGGGCGCCACACCCAGTAGCTGTGGTACCAGACCTATCATTAGGAAATGACAAAATGATTAGAAAAAAAGAGTGCTGTGGTACCCCTACTCTCTGTCTCTCACAAGCACACACACACATACACATAAAGATATACATATAAGTATGCCACTTCCACAGATTCCACATCAAGTGTGGCTTCCCACTGCATGCGTCCCATCGTGCAAGATCCCCCAGACACTAATGAAATCTATTGATGTGGAATGTGGGGACATCAAGAGAAGCAACAGAGGAAGAGAGGAACAGGGGGTAAAGAGAGAAAAACAGCTTCCCAGAATAGGAAAAAAGGGGCCGAATATAAAACAAACCAACCAAAAGTTTACACAGACCTCAATTACAGCCCAGAGTTGGATAAAAATAAACAAAATAATCACAACAGAGCACAATGAATCTTGGCCCCCTACCCAGCCTTAAGGCAATAAGTGCATCCTCAATGATTTCCTCATAGTAACAAACAGAGTTAATAATCTAAAACGGTTTATGAGTTGTGGAGCTACGTTTACATATACAATCAAATGCTCAATTTGGAAGCTGGAGAGAGGACAAGGTTTGGACATCATTGAAAAGGAATCTTATTTATTTAAATATGTATTTAAATATGTGCGCGCACACACACACACACATACATACATATATATATATATATATATAAAAAAAGACAATAAAGAATATTGCAATTGGTGTGGTCAACTTACCTTTAATAAATAATAAAATTAAAGACTTCTGTTTATTAAAGGAGAAAGCTTCTTGCTTTTTTTATATGATGACACAATTTCATGAAGTCTTTATGAAATGTCTTTGACGTAAAAAAAATTTGGGTAAAAATAATACAAAGCCACTGCTACAGCTTCTATTAATTTAGAATTTCTATTGATTATTTTAATCAAGTCTATCAATGCGCCTCACTGATTCTTATTTAAGAAATTCCTTATGGCGAGATCTTTAAATCAAACCACAAACAAGGTGGTTTTTCCTTGCTGACCATCTGTCTGTGTCCCGATAGCCTTTGTGTTTCCCAAAGAAACTTAAGCATTAGAGTTTCCTCTTGGGAGCCAGGCTAAGTCAATCAAAATGACTAGATTTTCAAAAAGCCTTGCCGCCATTCCAAGGCAGCTCTTTACAATGCTTCTTTAATCTGACCCCCACAATACAGACACTGACACACTAACCGTAGTTTGTGTGGACGTGGCAGGTAGTCATTACTGATGTGGTTCCTGGTATGTACAGTACCTGGGTGCCCTAATGGTCCCCTGCATGCCGGCATACTTATGTGTCGGCTTTGAGCCTGTGATGCGATTGTATTGGCGTGTAGGTCTAGACGGACAACATCACCAGATCCTGACACAGGCCTAAAGGTATGTGGCCTTGCGTGTGGCATTCATTGTCATACTCTCAGAGTCCCCAGCCAGCCGGTAATCACTTCAAAGAAGACGGGTCAACATAGAGGTGAACCCACACCGCCCCATAGTTCATACTACACTCTTCTACTCCTCTCACTTCCTTCTCTTTCATTGTTCTTAGCACTCCATTCTTCCCAGGCTTTTTTTTCTCATCTCAGCTCATTTTTCTTAAAAACCTGTTCTGTGGATTCGACTGTGTGCGGTTTTTCCTGAAAGCTGTTTGTCAACCGAATTTTTGAGCTGAAATGGAGATATATTCAGTCCTGTTGCAGCTGTCATTTAATAGTGCACACTGTTTGTAAACATACACAAAGTATTTTGTGCATGCTGATGATAAGTAATTATATTAGGTTCCAATGATGCATGATAGTAAATGTACAGCAGTCAGACAGAATGGTGAATGGGCTCCGCTTCTATAAGTGCAAATTAATGAGCACTTTGTGTACATGGTCCTATTTCTGCTTTTTTTTTTTAGCAGATTAATCAAAGCCTCCCTCGCAGTCCCTCCACAAAACAAACATCTGCTCTGTACGTCTGCTTTTTGTGCTTCTTGGTATGTTTCCTCTGAATGGACAAAACTACTCAAACACATGCCCAGTCAGCACAATCAGTATATGTGACTACACTGTTTCAAAGAAACTGTGAAATGCATTTAACGTCTATCGTCTTGATACCTAAATATCGTCATACCATCACGCTTCCATTCAGCTTCCTAAAATACATTTCATAATCAATACTTTATGCTACACGTCTGCAGCTCCTGCTTGACTACTGAAAGAGAAATACATTGTTGATCCTTTTATAATGTTTCAAATATCTTCACAACCTTAAACATATATCTACAAGCACATTTCATGTGTATATCTACCAGATCAGCTCTAAATGTCTTGCCTATTTAAACTGACCTCGGTACAGGCCGAAGAAGCCCTCGTAGCGCACCACCTTCTTAAAGCAGTCGAAGCTGTTCTTGTACATGAGCTCTCCCACCACAGAGCCGCTGCTCCGCTGGTTCTGCATGCGGGTCTTCACCAGGTCGATGGGATATACTGCGGTTGCACCCACAGCTACAAAGAAAAGAGATGTCTCCATTTAGATACTAGTCATTAACTACAGCAACGTCCTTTATGTTGCTGGTGCTTCTTGTCATAAAAGCAAGAGTATATTTTGTTAATAAATCCTGCTACCAAATTTTAAAAAATGTTTCTTGGGATTCTTTCATCTTCTTTGGACCAGGATGTTATAAACGTGCTCTACTAACCTGCTGAGTTGGACATTGATTTTTCACAATTCTATCATTCTAGAATCTAGATGAACAGCATTATCTTTAAAATGATGGCAACCATACTTAACTTGTGCCTACAGTCAGTAGATCAGGATCCACTGGCTAAAGAAAACTACTTTTATTGAAGCAGGTTCGTTCTTACTGTAAATGGTATTAACAAATATCATTTGAGAGACATTTTAGTATCTATCTGTTATACTTGATCTTTACAAAGAAGAGGGAGATGGCATAAATTTGACTTACGGCTTGAATCTTGTGGAGATGAGCAGTTTAAGGGTTTATTATTCTAATAGTCTAAAAGCATCATGCACAGACCGTTTAAAGCTGGCAATTTACAACAAATTGGTGCTTTTTGAAAAGAGAACAAAATGTCTTTCAGTGTCAGTAGCAAAACAAACAATTGTGTTCACTTTCATTATTTTGTGATTAGAAAAATAAAACAACCAGCACCGCTAGATGTCACGACAGATGTTTTGGTAATTTGGGTAAATTGACCCTCGAAGAGGAGGAAGAGGAAGAGGAGGAGGAGGAAGGGGAAGCCAGTGGGAATAATGTTAAGAAAGAAGTGTTTTGAGCTGCAGTGTCTTTGGCCTGTCACGCGGACACAAACAAAAAGAACCGACCCAAGGCGACAGGCTTAATTAGAGAGAGGCTGAGAAAGAAGAAGGGATGGCAGACCCACACCTCCTTATTAAGCTGTCTCCCTTGGGACAGAAGGAGGAAGAGAAGGGAGGAATGAAAAACAGTGGGGTGTCTGGAAGCAAACACAAGGCCTGGGTACCACCCTCCGCCCCACACCCTCATCCTGTGTCTTCTGACGACTCACACAGGTACAAAGAACACACATGAGGGTTTCCGCACGGCACCAGACGGGGGGAGATGTAAGGGATGGTGCAGATAGGAACCAAGATGGATGGACCGAGGGCAAAATTGGGCTTGAACAAGAGAGAAGAGAACACTTCTCTTAAAGCAAGGGAGTGACAGTTGCTCTTCTAAGGAGGGTAAAGGGCAACAGAGGGGCCATTGTGCTCACTCTCTCACCCTATTCTTATGAGGACAGTGCAGGGAGGGGGCTGGGGGGGCAGGTAGGCAGCCAAACAGGTAAGTGGGTGGGTGGTGGGGTGAAGGTATGCAGAGAGCCAATGGGGCGTGACTCTTACCCCCTGCGACTGAGCCAAGACTGAATCTGTAGATAGACTCTGCCACCTGGATAAGGATGGGGCGGGAGCTGTCGCTGCCCAACTGCTGCCAGCACACAGGAGAGGAGACAATGAAGGCTTTAGAACAATTAGCCAGACTGAGCAGCTTTAAAGAAAACTACCAGCAGACAAGCCTTTGTTTCAGATGCTAATGATTCAAAATAATCTGTTTACAATAGCACACAAGTCTTTACAATGGAACAATGTACAGGCCATGTTCGGAAATCCCACATGAATACAAAATTCAATGTTATGTAATCCACTGTTGAAATATTGTGTTATAAACATGTGAGACGAATGAGAATCCGGTGTAGAAGTAGAAGTTTCTAATTCTAATCACAGTAATTGATCATTTCTTTTAATACTCACAACAAAGGAACATTCTTATACATTTAAACATAATACATATCAATAATTAGAATGCAGCTCATATATGCTGCGCTAATAAGTCCACTAACAGATAATTCTCAGTGAAACATTACCACTAGACAAATGTGGAGGGTGAATTCAGAGGTCTTACAGATGACCTCTACCTGACCCACCACCCTGCCATACAACATCCAGCACTTCATCTTTCTCATCATTGTTTGCCTGATGACTGATTAAACTTGGCAATACTGTCAGGGTGAACGGGGGAGAGAGCGGGAACAAGTTAGCAGAAAATTAAGAAAGAGAACTTTGGATTGACGCACAGAGAAGTAGATTTAAAGAAAAAAAAAAGAAAGAAATGGAGAGAAGCAGCAAAAGATGAGGGGAGAGAGTTCCAGTTAGCTGGCGGCCAGCCCCTGAGCCCAAACCACAAGGGCCTAAAGCGGCTCATTGTGGTGGGACTGGCGTCTGTGTAGTGCTGGGCCCCTTTGCTTTCTCCCCTTTGGCCCCAGCATGCTTCAATATGGCCTGGCCAAGACTTCAGCGTAGTGCAGCTACAACAAAACAGCCTGAGAAGGAAAAAAGGTCTCTGCTCATCTGTCGAGCTGGCCATGTGTCCTCCTTTCTTTCCTTTTGTTACAAATTGCTCTTGTTAGCCAGCTATTATATGCAACTTGAAGCATGTATGTCTTTCATTAGGGCTTTCTGAGGATGACTCTCTTGCCTTCATTTTCAGTGATACATGAGTTTTGTCAATGGCTTTTTTTAATGACACCAACCACATGTCAGAGGGAGGTCAAGTGTGTTTTTTTGCCTTAAAAAAAATCTGTTGAGGTCTTGAGTTCTTCAGTGGGACTCCTAACCAGTGTCTCAGTGCATTAATCGAGTAATTCATGCCAAAATCACAAATCAAAGGGATGTTTTGCTTTAGAGGATTAATTACATGTGAGCAGGAGGTATCATTATCCCTTATTTTAAATTTTAGTCATCTACACTCTGACATTTAGTTGAAGCCAGTGAATAGGGGAGGAAAAAAGCTCTCGTAGAAACGCAAGAGGAGACCAAACAAATCAACAAGTCTTCATCTTCTGTACCTGTCTCTGGACTTCAGCCAAGTTGTAAGGCAGAGCGCCTTCCTCCAGTGGAGCAATCTTCTCTATGTCCACTAAACCGACACGTCTGAGAACAGAAAGAGACAGCAGACACAGAGATGTTTCAAGTTACTCTCAGAGGACATTAATATTTCAACCACTTACCACCAAGTTCATGACTTCTGCGATCAATCTGTCAGTCTGAAGTTATGCAATATTTATGGATACTTTGCCATAATTCCATATGAAAAAATACAAACCGAGGCATGTACTTGGCAAGATCACTGATCTACAGATACTGACAAATCAAATTCTTTTACAACAACATCCAAGTGAAACAAAGAAACCTCATGTTTGGATGTTTTTCCATTAAATTTCTTCGACAGACCTAAAATTCCTAGGCCCCAGGAATTGCTAACATCGAATCCTCTCTCCCCCACCTTCCCGAAGCCCCTGACTCTGCTCCTATGAATATTAGGGTTATTACCTCTCACATCTCCAATCAAGGCAAGTGGAGAGGGCTATTAAAGTATCCCATTGCCCAGAAATAATAATCAGGTAGTGTCTCAGGCCAGGGTTAGAAATTGCAAGTACACTGTTCAGGCTGCAAGGCTGACGCAAAGAAAGTTGGTGATGTGAGACATACAGTTGTTTTGTGCCATGGATCACAGGGATCTGAATTGCACTTTTTTAGGATAAATAAGAGTTTGGGTTGGGATTGGACCGTAAGAAGATTTCTGAGGCACATCGGCCAAGAAGTTGGTGAAAAGCTCATCTCTCAGAGGTTAAATATGAACTCTAAAGCTTGATTTGTATGGTGTATTAAAGAAGAGAAAATACACATTACAAAGATGCTGATGAAGGCAAAATCCACACTGAGGCCAAAGGTAATAATCTATCAGAATAAGCAGTGTTGATAACTACAAACCAGAGACTCAGCCTGTAACAGGAATGAGCTGTGGATAGTATAAACGACATAAGTATAAATTCTGAGGTCTTTTCTGCTACGACACTTTTTTCACCATTTACGGAATTGAACTTTGCTGTTTTATTAAATCCATTTATTTGAGCATGCGCTCCACTGTGAATGTAGCTCCTTGTGCGTCTGTGTGTCTGTGCAGCTCTTGTGTCCGTCTTACCCGCGAGGCACTGACAGGTCAGCCAGCTGGAAGAGAATGTCAACCTCCATGGGTGTCACCTGACCAAACCTCTGAGCTGCCACAATGAACTCCTCTACAAAAAGAAAAGAAAAGATTTACAATCAGCTTACACAACAAAAAAAAAGAAAAGCCCCATATCAGGAAACACAACAATTTAAACTTTGATATAAACTTTTCTTGCTGAATTTTTTCAATTCATCAGTAGTTTGGGCCCTAAATGATTTTTTAAGGATTTTTCTGTGGCAGTAAAATATACCCCGAACAAAGCAAGATTTTCTGAGGCAAATCATATAAAGTTGAAATAGACTTGCTTATTTTAACATGTTTATGTTAATGAAACCTCTAATGTGTTACCTGTGAAAGCCTCTTAACCTTCCATTAGTGATTATGACTGACTACAGTTGATAGCGCCCTTTTTTTCTACCATGCAACTAGGACTAGCTTGCACATAAAAGTGTCAATGCTTATCCAGAAAAAAAAAATTAAAGCTATGCCTATGGAGAGTTGTGGATTTCAAGAGGCAATTTCAGTCTGTCGTAACTTAAGACCTGGTCTATTGTTGGGTGAAAAATGAACAGGTTGACTGCAGGCTGACTTACAGTGGAGGAGTCAGCATTGTTTGACCTGCTTTATTCAAAGAGCACCAACCTAGAGTTGTGACAAAGTCGTCCTACACTGGAGCCATTCACCCCGCCAAGGCTCGGCTTACCCCTGAGGCATGCTTCTTTTCTCTCTCTCATACACACATCCATAACTATGGATATATGGAGGTAAGGCTCACGAGCATTTGAGACAACATCCTTCCATGAGAATAACCTCACGCGCACACATGAACACACACACAGACAGAGTTCTGTCTGGAGAGGTCACAGATCCCAGTCCTGATAAACTGTCTGCCAGTATCTTGTAGTGTCTACATGCACAAATCCCTATCTATCAGAGTTTACTCTGTACTCATTTGAACATTAATCAGCTTCTTTGCAAAACGATGCAAGACTTATGTCAAATAACACTTCTTAATTCGGGATGTGACCCCAAAAGTCTCAAGATGTCCAAGAAAAAAACCCAATTCGCCCAAAGGGGGGAAAAAAAGCAAAGAAAAAAAAAACGCAATGACTTGCATATCTTCCATATTAAATGTTGAAAGTATAAAAATGACTATTTAATGTAAATATCACAGCTGCTCTTTAGATTGATGGAAGGCGTATGTTTCAAAAGAATTGGGACAGTGCAACAAAATGCTGGAAAATGAAAGAAAGAATTATGATAAAGACACAGCTGGAAGAACGTGTTCCAAAGAGTTAGGTTTACTGGCAAAAGACCACAGCTACAAGGCCAGGATGAGTCTCTCAAAGTAAAAATTGGCAGAGGTTCAGCAAACTCCAAATTGTAGCGCAATTCCAGAATTATTCATTTTCACAAATAACATTTCTTAAGGCAAAAAAGTTAAATCATGTCAGTGAAAACATAATACAATCAGAAGCTGATATTACCAGCACGGTCTGGATATCAGGACTGAAATTCTGTTGTATGATGTGCCATCGACAAACGCAGGTTAAAGAAGAAACCATACATGGACAGGATCCAGAAAAGAGACAGAATTTCCTGGGCTAGTGGAAAACGCTTTAGGGGCCAGAAGAATTCTACATTATGACTTACAGACTAACAAGACCAAAGATGGAGATGCATGTGATGAAGTGCCTGCATATGTGGTGGTCTATGTATGTGTTAGTGTCTATGAAGGAACTTTTAGCATTTAGTGTAAAATATGCTCCCGTTCAAATGTTGACTTTTAAGAGAATGCTACACATCAGAAAACATGGATCTAACCCAAATTCTGAAACCTGTTGCTGCAATCTAAAATGAAAGTAGTTACCATTTTTCATGAAACAGTTTCCGAAAAAAGAACAAAACATTTTTAAAAAACATAAATGAATGATTATTTGTACAAAACACTCATACAGATATACAAGTTTGGACTCACTCGGTGGACCAGTTGAGTGAGAAACCCTGCTGTCAGACATCTGATTACTGCAATTTGCCGCCATAACTGGCTCATGCTGTCATCAGCTGTGACAGAACCTACTCTAAATACGCATGCCACATATCAACACTTGTACTTCAACACAATTCTGATTGGGACTTCTTCACAAAGCCACAGTTATGGTCTGTCATGGACGCTGCTGGTCCAGTAAAGATGTCTTATATAAACCTCTTCATCTGAGGAGAACGTGCACGCTCAGCTTTGCGTGGGCGTTAAGCAGCATGTCTCCGGGGCAAAACAGTGGCCTTGTTGCACATAAGGAATCACTCAATATTAAAAAGCATGTGTGCATGCTTGGCAGGGTTAATATGTATGAATACATGAGTATGGAGGAACAGAAATGCAGAGCACACACACATAGTTGGTATACGCAGATCTGTGCACTCCATGTTTTTGTGGGTCAGTCTGTAGTACGTGGAACTGAGCACTTGCAGTCCCTGAGGAGTACTTAATGGCTCAGGGAGGGGAGTATAGATGGGTGGTGGCTATGGAGGTCTGGCTGGCTGTGGGCCACCGCAGGTCGAGCCAAGTCAAGGCTTGGTGCACCCATGGTGGGAACACCCTGCAGAGCGTTAGGGCTTTTGGCCTGGGTCGGGTACGGTCCACACCCCTGATAAGACTCCAGATAGCATCATAAGGCTCCACACGGCCCAGAGCCATGTGGAGAGAGGTCACTGCAGTTTCTTATAGACAGCCAGAGATGGAGAGGGAGCCGAAAAGCAAGAGAGGGGGGAGAGGAAAAAAGACAGAGAAAGCCATCTCGGCTCCCCGCCAAGTACTGAGGAAAGGAATGAGAGACAGCAAGTGGGGCAAGCAAGTGAGGGAGATAAGGATTTGAAGGAACTAAGCACGACAGACATAGAACATTTAGCCACAGATAGACGTAAGGCCTCTGGGAAAATTGTTTAAAAAAATATTTTACAGTAATCAAGTAGTTTTAACTAAGTACACCATCAACAAGCTGATCAAAAGACTGACGACTGCTGCCTGTTTTTAGGTGTTGTGTTATTTCTTTGGCTCAGACAAAAGCAGGACAGATTTAGACGTCCACAGATCAGTGCCGGGAAGAGTAGACGGAACCATGAGATCAGAGATCACAGATCCTGCGTATGTGGTACGTGAGCTGGGTCGGATCCAGCGTGCCCATTTAAATGCCACTGGGAGGGAAGGAGGCCAAACAAATACAAGTTTCCTACGCGGTTTTAACGCACAAACTCACATAAATGCATTGTCTGGAAAGCACATTAGAGCCTGCAGGCCAGGACCTCATCAGTCTTCTCCGCATGTGGCCACAGTTGAATCTGGGTTTTACATGTCTGCCTGTGTTCCACACTTAGAACTACACATACACTTCTTGTGTGCATTGGTTAATATGAAATTATCTGCAATCTGTTCAGTGTAGTCATGTACCTTTGGTAACCTCTACATCTCGACGGTGACCAGCCAGGGTGCTATAGATCTTTCTAATCAGTTCCATGTTATTCAGAAGGGAGTTGAAGCCGTTGAAGTAGGAGAAGCTGACCTGATGAGATGTGCTGCCCCCTGCAACCTGGGAAGAGAAGAAGTGGGGTAATTCAGGGGCAAGCAACTCCTTTGTGCACTTAAGAACAGTCCCACACTCATACATCTAGATACTAACATTACACAGTTACACAAGAAAAGACACACACAAAAAAAGCACAGGTCAAGAGGAAATCTTGACAAATACTAGTGGTTAATCAGCAATGTTCCTCTTCAGCTTCTCTCCACAGCGAGACATAGAACTTTTCAAACTGCTACTTTTTCCATCACATGATGCACTCTCTCAGGGGCTTTAATTAACTCTTTATGAGGTGGAGGAAGCGGTAAAATGACTGAAAATAGAAAAAAAGGTAACTGATTAAAAATAGACGCCAGACCCAAAAGGAAATTCCAGACAGGCCACACACTCTTTTATGTGAACCACGGTCCCATCTTTATCAAAAGAAGCCCTGACACCCTTAAAGGAGCAGTCCTCACTGTGTCTTTAAGAAAAACGTGCTGAAGTAGTTTTCATGAATCCTGATTTGGATAGCTTATGTCAGAGTATCATATGTGCCCTCGGGCTTCTCTGTCCTGAAGGCTGCAGTCGTTGCAAAATTGAGATCTTCCCCTCACTAGATGGCACTGTTTGCTTTACGGATGCTTACAGAGAGGTTGCTTGCTCCTTCAAGTATGTCTGCGACATGGGAGGGAAGCTTTAGCTTGGGTGAAACTGCCCTAACACAGAGACAATTTTGTATTTGTTCATATCTGTGAGCCTATAGACATGGATCTTCCCACGATGTCCAACAGAAAGTCTTTCACAAAAGAGAGAACAACATTTGAGTAGGAAAAAAAACAGAACAGAACAGAGTTACACTGATCATTGAACAATGCATGGTGAGTGATTTTAAGGTTGCTCTTCCACTGTCTATGTTCTGCTACAACGCCACCGCCTGCAGTGTATCAGGAGCTTTTTCATGTGCGTGTGTTTAAGGAGAAGGAGAAAGAAGGAGAGAGTTTACTAACAGCACACAAAGAAGTCTGGTCGGTGAGGTAAACACGGTGGAGAAAATGACATGGTCTACGAGGTGTTTATGAAATGGGGCAAGACATGGACAAAGACGGGGGACGGTGCACATGCGCAACAAAAACACCAACACGCGCAACGAAAAGACAGGACATGAAAACAGACAAACATCTCAGAGTTCAAAACAAACAACGCTCACACACACACGCGCACACTCAAAACACACATCCAAAGATGATGGCCTGCGAAGCTGCATTCGCCATCCATCTCTGTCTCTATGTTCCCATTCAGCTGGCCTGCTCGGCTCTGACACTGCCAGAGGTTAGATTTAATGACATGTTGGGAGAGAGAGGCAGAGGCATGGGGTGGGGGGTGGGTTGGGGCTAGTAGAGGGGGAGAAAAAAATTTGAAGGAGGGAAGAAGAGAGAGGATGGGCGAGAGGAGGCAGAAAAGATAAAGAGGAAGAAGACAAATGAGAGACAGCAAGAGGAAAAGAGCCTCTGCCTTTGGCTTAGGGAGAGCAAGGAAAAACACTAAGTAGTGAGATAGAGTAAAACTACCTCGACTAGCACTTTTTTGCAGAATGCAGCTCGCGGAAGACTACGAATGTGGAGCCGTTTCTCAGCCAATGCCTATTCTGATCCTGAAATGAAGTACATTTGGATATGGAAAAATTCTAAAAATATTTAGTATGTTTTAGATTTACTAGCACATCGATAACAGAGATATACCTTTCATACTTAGCTTGAAAAGTATTGCAGCATTGACTGTCAAGATTAAAGCATGAATTGGCATGTGGGAGCCTTTTTAAAACCTTGTAAACACTTTTTTAGTTTCCAAGTTTCCCAGTGACAGCGGAGAGTATGGACTCACTATTTTTAACCTGACTTTGGCTGTTGTGGATGACAATAAAACAAATAGATGAGAAAACCACAGAGCCAAACCATGGAAGGAAAAAAAAAATAAACCCACCGCCACGAGGCATTCCTCAACAAAGGGTGTGAGCATGTGTGGCCGGATGGTAACCATGATGTCCCTGAAGTCCAGCGCTGAGATGGAGCCGCTGCGGGCTTCATCCCGCTGGATGAAAGCCTGCCGTGCGTGTTCCAGCTGCATCTCCTGTGGAGTGAGGAGGAGATAGGTGTTACAGTGCATATTCATGTTGCACACGTACTGTATGTGGATCATACACCTCTTTGAAGAATCCAAATAGACCTAAAAAGGTATTAAATAATGGAACTAAACATTGGCCCCCTCTGAGCTGCTGGAATCCAGAGTTAACCCAGGCTTCAGCCGCCTCTCCCAGCATTGGAATACGTACTGTGAGGCGTTGTTTGGGCTTTTCACATCCTCCTCAAATCCACATTAAACCCACTCGAGGGAGAAACATATAAACACATGCAGATACTTACAGACAAGCACACACATGCAAGACAGCTAATCACCCAACTGCTCACTTTTTGTCTGTCTTCCTGCACACACACACACACACACACACACACACACACACGCACACACACGCACACACACGCACACACACGCACACACACTTGTGCACACAAAAGGTCCACAGGGACAACAGCAGGCTGCAGCGGTGGGGACATTTCCCACAAGGCCTTTGAAATTAACAGCCATTATCCATACCTGCGACCACAAGTCCACAGAGAGAGGCCGTAAACAAACCGCTGCAATCCATGGTTGCTCTATATTTCAACAATGAGCTCCGAAATAGCCAAAGACGGGGATTTTAGGACCAGAAAAAACCACAAAGTCATTGTGAAATAAAAGCAACTGGCTTGAGGACAGCAGGATAAAGCTTTCTGGTTTGGCTCCTGATGCACCTGCACTGCATTAAAGGGGACAAACTGAATTGTGTCTCCTTTTTTATTCATGGTTTAAAAAAAATAGTTGATACATTTAAGTACGAATCAATGTTTTTACCACATTAAGGTTTCCATTTGACAAAAGAACTGAACATTTTTAATGACAAATGCACTCTTTGTTTCTAGCCAACAAAAGAATATAATTTAGCAATTTTGTGTAATTTATTATATTAATCACCTTGTAATCAGGTTGTGTAACTCTATTTAGACAAAATGTCAACCACAATGTGCAAACACCGGAAAAGGTCCAAATGCAAACACAGTAAATTGTCAGTAAAACTTTTCCTAAATTATACATCATAAAGTAAGTACCAGAAAAAGACTTTTAGGACAATAATTAAGTTAGTTATTCATTTTAAAGTAAATGATCATCAAAATGTCCAAGAAGAATGGACTTATTCTTTTGAGCCACACTTATTGGACAAAACTGACTGAAGAGGGACTGATTAAATCCTGAACATGCATGGCATTATTCAATTGACTGATTCAGATGGATGTTATTGTTGTAAACAGAACTCTAAGGAAGTGGTATTACAACAACACAAAACCCTATGAGACTATGACTCATTGTTGCGTTGAATTTGAGTGATATTTCACTGACAGCAGAACTGATCAAACTCTAAATTCGATGCGCTCGAGAAAAACGGCTAGGGAAGAGTGACATTAACACAAAGCTAAGTGGAGACCGGAGGGGAGTAAGAATAGACATTGCAACAAAAGAGCCGGTTTTGCAAAAACAGTAAATGTAGCAGCCGTGTGTCAGTATCACCTATGAGCGCAGCAGGGGCTCTGCAGAGCGCACATGTGAGGGGAAACCGAGAAAATGAAGAGAGAATGACACTTCTAAACGCTTCCAAAGTAAATAAGGTGAGATATTTTGGTGGCAGCATCCTGAGAGTCGTGACTCACTGTTCCGGTCGGCTCCGAGAGAGTGAAATGACTTTGGTGAGAAATAAGCAGGAGGGGAGGAAGGAAGATGGACATTTAAAGTTATAACACAAAAGGAAAGTAAGGAAGTCACTTTCTGTGTGCAAGACTTTGTGCATGGTTCAACCTGTTTGTATCCATCTGCAGGAGAAGGGAGAAAGTTAGATTCAATTTCTCTGGACAAGGCAAAGCCACACGGCAACCACACAGAGCAACAACACAACTGTGGTCCAGGGACGGAGAAGTTTATAGTCTCAGCCTCCTAAAATCTTAACTTGTTGCACCCGTATGCATGCTTTTGGGACATGGTTTTTATTTGGGAGGGGAAGGAGGGAGGGAGGCAGGAGAAATAAAGCTGGGTGCTTAAAACACCCAGCAAGAGACCACTGACGCATTTGCAGTCGCCTTAATTGTTCTTGGACGAGAATAAAAACAACTGAAAAGCCACCTTGTTTTGTTCAATCGCTGCGAATCCTTCTACTCCTTTCTTATCCTCCAACTCTCTAATCTGTGCTTGTCACCCGAAGAGGGCTAAAGTTATCACAAGACACAAGCACGACGGCTCGTTTCCAGTCGATGCATTAATGTTAAAGGACAGCACCCGAATTCTCGGTTGGCTGAAACATGGAAGCATCAAAAAGCAATGGGTCAGAATTCAACGCAGGAGCTGCTGCGCACCACCGTGTGCCACCTCCGTGGATATCGACGAACCTCTGCCAGAGACAACACAACGCTGACAGTGTGAGCCGCCGCTTGGCCGGAGTCCACGCGTGAGACGGGGAAAAATGCATGTAATTGGTGAGAATCTCTGGCTTCCATCAAGACAGTAATTGGCCAGAGAGAGCCCTTGTGAGAAATATGCGGCACAAACGTTTTCCCTGATAATCCCATTTTGTGAGCATCTGGCAGCGGCGTGGTTACAACAACCAGAAAACAATAAACACATGCAAGGCAAGTAAGGGGTACGACACTCAGGATGGGAACTTTTACCTTTCAGTGTTTTTAATTGAACTAAAAGGCAGCCCAGAAGTGTGTTAGCTTTAAATGTGTGCCATTTTTAGTTTTAAGTGCACAATTTATGTAGGAACTGCAAAGGGTTTAAATGTGCGTCAGGAAATGTTGTCCCTTAGGTAAAATGTCAACTTTCCCTGAAATGCAGGATAAAATATTGAAGGAACTGAAGGCTTAAATTGTATTAAAAGCTTGAAGCCTGAGGAAGGAGATGGATAAGTATCTGTTCGAAAGATTTAAAAACTGTCCATTGAAAACATTTATGTGATCTTTCATTATGTCCTCAGAGTTCATATATTTCTTATGTGGTTTTTTGACAGCAGAGGCACACGCACCTATGAAGAGAAGCATCCAACCATCCTTACTCATTCGTTACAGGATTATTCAAAAGTTATGAACAGTGATCAAATACAGACAGCAAAGGCAGAAAAGGGGCATTAGGTAGTTGAGCAGTGAGTGTTGCTGGATGCTGGCTTGCTGCTCCGAGGAGCTGGAAACCACTGAGTGAGTGACTGGGAGAGAACCGGGCATGCTGTCAGTGGAAGGCACAGCATCCACGGGCCGTAACGCCACAGAGCTGCTCTCCACACACAGGAACAAACATGGACAAAAACACAAATGCACTGAGCTTACATGCAACTGCCAACACATCAAGCATGCGAGCGCCACACACATGTAGAGAGACACTAATATGCACGTATAACAATGTCCTAATACCCATGTGAGGCTGCCCACTCTGTGTAAGCCATCTGGTCCAAGTTAAGAGCAATATAAAAAGCTTATTCAGATACATGGTGAGTGTGGATGCAAACTTGGCCCAGTTAAAGCCCACTCTCCCATCCCCTCCACCACCTCCCCCTGCTTAGACCTGATTTAAGTCTAGACATCATATTGGAAAATGGCTCACACGCCACAAATACACCAGGAATATTCCAACTGTACTATTTCTGGAGGTAAAAAATGTCATTTTACCTGCCTCAGAAACATTGGGATGGAGTAATGCTAGATGTACGTCAGCTAATTGAAAACAAATGCAGAAAATGTCCCAAATACATAACCTCAGTGTTTCATTAATGACTAATATGGACAATATGTAGGGCTGTGTTTAAGAGGGCCAGCTACAGCAGAACTTTGTGCGTGTGTGGGGGGGGGGGGGTGTTTGAGACTGTGTGTGTGTTAAAATACTTAAATACCGAAGAATACTGTTCTATGATGGCAGGATTAGCTTGAAAGCTAAATGTAAAGATAAGGAAAAGTGTACATGTGCATTAACCACAGCCTACTAATTCATTGACTATTACTGATGGATGCTTTATAACGCAAACAGGACACACCAACCGACAAGGAGTACTAAAAAAAAAATGATAATAGAGAGAAGGGGATTAGAATCAAACCTACCAGCAGAAACTGGGTGAACTCGCCATAGTTGAGCTTCTTGTTCCTCTGAGCACCAAAGTGCAGCTGAATAAACTCACAGCTCCAGTTGAAGGGGATGTGCTGGTGGATGGTGGTCTGGCTAAAGACCTGCTTCACATCCTCTGTAGGAGAGACAAAAATAATTTGCCACAATGAGTAAGTCTAACAAAATCCGCCATTTTAACAGAGTAATATTAAAATGGATTTATAATGAGGCTCTTGAATAAACCACAGCAATATTAGGCCCGTGCCTCAGTGTAGAAATGCACCCTACTATCGTGAACTGCTAATCTCCTGTGTTGACTAACGTAATATATGGAGTATTCAGAAAGAATACAAGCATGACATGAGGCAACCTCACTTTTGCTGAAATCCTTTTTAAGTTACAGTAAAGCAGTTCTGTTTAGCTTTAGATTACACCTCGCTTTTCAGGCTAATGGTCAGTCATCTGCACATTCATGATTTTTTATAACAAACAATTATCAAATATTTCTTCCTTTAGTTTTTGGTTTCCTCTAATTGAGACTTGAACGTTGTATCGTAACAAATAGCGAGCGTTTCCTGTCCTGCCTCAAACATTAGTAATAACTCAATTTGCATCTGAAAAAGAAGAAAAAATCTCTTTAGATCATTTCTGACTGTCAGTGTCTCAAGAGCACAATTTTGCCCTGATTGGGACTTGAGTTCCTCCAAATCAGTCTGGAATGATCCATGGCAGAACCAGTGTGAGCTGTGCAGGCTCCACGCTGAGAAGGAAAGCCTTTGCTTCTCACTTATGTTCCTCTATCTGGACCCTCTAAGCCTCTACAGCCAGCGGAGTGGAGAGACACTGAACATGAGTCCCAAATTACAGCCTTACTAAAGAAACAAAAACAAACCAATAGAGCGACCTGTTTCTTATTACCAAACATGCTGAAGGAGAGGAGAAGGAAAAGAAAGTATTTTTTCCCATTACAGGCAGGGAGTGATATAAGAGAGAAACAGACAGAAAGGTGATAGTTACCACAGCTCAGTCTTACTCTCTGAAAGAAGACGGCTTGTGTTGGGCTTTTTTCCCTTTTTACACTTTAATAAGGCAATAAATATACAGCATTTAATTCTTTAAAAGACAGGCTGCCTCAGAGTGCGATGTTTGTATTATGAACTTTTATGGACCTGTCAACAGTTTTTTTTTTTTTTTTTGTCTTTTTGGCTGAGCTACAAATTGCATGTCATGTGCGAAGTTACGTTGCGATTTTTATGAACTTGACAGTCCACCAAATTATGCATTTACTTTTTACGTGCTAAAAATTCAGAGTAGCCTTCCCGCCCGTGCTTTCCTGAAACCGCTCAGGTTATTATCAAATAAAAGTGCCACAACTGAGAAATTAAAGAAAAAGAAATCAGACTGAGCACATTTTCGCAGATTAAAACAAATAAGGCTTTAACGTGAAATAAGTTATGCCTATTAGTGTTTTAATGGGTGGTAGAGAAAGTAGCTCCTAATAATTTTGTGCCTTGTTGGGTCTGTTCAACCAAACGAATGGGAAAGTAAAAAAGAAAGCAGGAAAAGGGGCAGAATTCTGTAATGTATCACTATAAAGCAACATTGACAAGTCTGTAATCTCAGTAACAAGTTATTTGCTTTTGCTGAAATGGTAGCCCAACACTGCAGTCAGTGTTTGCGCTCTGAATGATGTGTGTTATGTTTTTTATACAATTTTCCACTTGTGCGCAGGTCCCATAACACATCACACGCACCGGGATATTCATTAACCTTTGGATGCAGAAAAGCAGCAGACCTTTTAATTGCCACCAAGACAACGTCACTCTAATTGATCCTTTTAAATACGAAAATTTACATATGTGCATATATAATCACCTGCAATGATCTTGCACCCTGTCGACAGCAACAATTAAAATGAAATTCACTTACTCTTCCACGTTTTGCGGGACGTGTGCGCTGCATCTCAAATCAAGCCTAATGCGCTAACGCCTCGCACACCTACAGAACGCTGGCATTAGACTTGTTTAAATCAATTAGGCAAATGTGAAATGAGCAACGAGTACAAATGTCTTCCCTTTTCACCTCGGAGCTTCCAGGCATCAGAGTAATGGTGCCAATCATGCACAGACACAGCAATACACACACACACACACACACACACACACACACGACCACCCACCCTCTAGTCCATCTTCATCCTTTAGCTGCCTCTCCACCTCCAAACCTAACCTTCTCTCAACAGACACCGTGAGGGACCATGGGCAGTATTTTGTGTTTGTGGATGCAGCTCTAATAGTGGAGATGAGCTCAGGTCAGACCCCTCACACAAACAAAAGACCACATTCTGAAAAAACTGATTTCGGGGGGCATGAAAAACAACACTGTTAAATGTCAGCAGCGAAGAAGCAGGTGCAGTGTTCAGGTTTGAACTTTTATCTTAGTTTACATAAGAACATCAGAGTTACAAATCGTTAGACAATTTTGCAACGAGGCTGCCTCCTGACTTTGTTTGGTTCTCTTGTAGAAGGTTTCCTTCTCTGATGGATTGAATATTTAAACAAATCCAACAGCCATGCCAATGAGTTATTCCAAAAAAAGACCAGGTTAAATTATGTTTACCAGATATTTGATACAATGTCCACGAATCCTTTTTTTTTTTTAAGTCTCTGGTTTGGTTGGTAATGACTGATGGTGGCTATTCTAAATCAATTCTCAGAGTGGATTTGCCCATATTTCCTGGGTTTCATCATTCCCAGAGGAATTTGGTCATACAATTATAGTATACATAGATATATGTAGTGTCTGTTGATTAGTACTCCCTTTATGAAATTATACTTTCTGTTGATGGTTCATCAATGGACACATAATTGAAAGAAGCCTTTTCCATAGTCCTTTCTATATAACGATGCATTCAGGTATCCACGGGGCAATTTTTCCCCTGAAGTATCTGTGTATTGTTGAGTAATTCTCAATGAGGATAGTGGGTGTCATTACTAGAGAAATCACATGGTCACAAATGTATATTTAAGCATATTTCATCCCTTGTGTTCATATGGAACATAACAACGCTGCCAAATATTCTACCCTTTGCAAATCTCCGCTGACACTGACAGTTCCATGATACAATCTTTTCCTTCGAACAGAAAAATAACCCTGAAATCCCTGGCTCTGACTTATGGATGAGACAATCATTTGCTACTTAGTTATTTGTTCCATGTAAGGTACGTTTTGCTCACTCTTTTTTAGATGTAGGCACTAGAATTCTAGTAACATCTGGGGGAGATGTTTTACTGTCATAAAGTTACCTTTTCACTTTGAAAATAACAGTTAAGTTTGACAAGAAAGCTATGGACTGTAACCAAAAGGGTTACTCCCAAGGAGGTAGTATGCAGTGTGCTGAGAATGAAAAAGGCTTGAGCATAATCTAATCCATCTGAGGCAGATGTACTTACCAAAAGTGGCCATTCCGTTGCCCGTTTTATCAAACAGCAGGAAGGCGACCATGAAGAGGGAGTCTGGGGCGCACAGCACCGACTCAAACGCTACGAACTCCTGAAAGGAGATCAAGCTGGAGGGGAGAGGGACAGAGAGAAAGAGGAGAGGTTGGATTATGATTAACCGCTGACATTTCGGCTGATTCAGTGCTATGGCACTGAAGTTTCTGGGCCTCTACCTAAAGACTTCTTCATCATTCAAACTGCCGTGAAATTCCTCATAAACACTTGAGCCTAAATAACACAAAATATTCAATTAAAATGAAAAGTTATCCGAACACTGCATTAAACTCCAAACTCGGCGGTAATTACTACCACACAGTGGTAAACTTAGCCCTCTTAGACAACCTATCAATCTGTGCTAAACGTAATTCAAGCAGCCTTTTATCCAGAAGTCTGTTATTCCAAATGTAATGTCATAAACTCATTGGGTGTGACAGCGGGAAAATAAAACATTTTTAAAAGCTCTGTGTGTGTCCCTGGCCTGAGCTGGCAGCCCGTGCGAAAGGGGCCAACCTTACACCACACAAAGAAAAGTTTCACATTTTAGCGTGCCAATTTAAGTGAGTAGACAGCCATGACAGGAGCAAGGAGCCAGTTCAGCCAACATAATTCACCTCAGTATAAACAGAACATAATCATTTTTAGTTTAAAAAACGTCATAACAGGCCAAGGAGAACAATTCAAAATGATGAACTTGACTGACAACTTGATTAGTTTTTGTCTTGGTTAAATGCAGCTGTATCTCTTAATTCTGGACGGTAACACAAATGACTGACTGCATCATCCCCCCCCCCAAAAAAAAAGACCTAAACATAGCCTCAATGTGAACTCAGTGAGAACCTGGTCGGGAGAGTCCCACCGCGGAGAACTGGACCACAGCCTTCATTTAGGCCCCGGTTCTCATTTCCCATAAGTCCATTATGAATTTCACAAATGGATCTGATAATTACAGGAGGGGTCAGAGCTAATGAGTGGTCTCCGAGCATCCATCAATTAAACCCATTTCAATTTCTGAGGGGGAGTGTGGTGGAGCGGTGGGGAGGAGGGGGGGGGCAGTGATTACACTTTCGTGGTTGTTGTAATTAATTATGTTACTGATGAAATTTGGAGGTGTTTGTTTGGCCAGGTCTGTGTGCAGCGCTTGTATGCAGTCTTAGATGTATATAGCTCAGTTTATGTCCAGAAATACCACACGTTTTATATGGACTGAAGGTGATTCAGAGCAAACAAAAAACATATAGATTCTTTAAAATGAGTTCCAATGACACTGGGATTCAGTTCCTCCGGAAAAAGAGCAATACAGAAGGTTCAGCTTAATACTAAAGAGCATGAATACTCTTCTAGTAAAGAGGGGCATGAAGAAGGAACAGAAGTGAGCACCTCGGCAGCAAAGGAAATGAGCTGTCGTGATATCAAAGGCAAGACTAATTGTTTTATTAACTAGGCAAGTAGTTCTCTCGAACAGGGCCCTGCTGATAGCAGGTAGGAGGAAGGGGGCACAAAAGCACACTGCTGGGACTGTGGATCCGCTTTTAAAAACAAAAGCCAGTCCTGCTGCCAGAATGTGGTCAATTTCCCCAACAATGATGATTCTATTGTGACACGTGTAGTACACTCTGAAATTATACCTCAGAGAGTTTAAAAGAGTTTAAGCAAGTGAAAGCTACAACATAGACTCACAGAGCACACCCGCTCCGAGTCAGATCCGAGGGAAAATGTCAGATTATTCCCCTTTTTCTCCCCTTTCATCCGCATCGGTTTACATGCACGCTGTTTGTACAGTCTGTGTTTTCCCAGACATGGATAATCAGCGTATTAGTGTAACTGAGAGCGCTGCTGATCACTGAGGGATTGGAGCGCAGTTTAGACCGGGGGGTCCGGACAAGATCTAGGGGGCATCTCCATAACACACGGGAGAAAACATTCCACACATGACTGTGTAGCCGGGGCTGAAGCTTATGATGGTTGATTAGCAGCGCCATGACGGCTGCAAAATGATTACCATGAGATGGTGGGGAGGGGGGGGGGGCTACGTTTTTTGCGATCTAGAAGTAACTCTAACGAGACGCTAAATAATCAAATCAACCAACAGTATCTCCCAACCATCAACTGCCATGGCACGTGTCCAGGGCAGGCCTTTCTGCGCATGCAGCCCGCGATGAACTTAGAGGCACGTGTGATACTGTGCCATAGCATCTCTTCATTTCACTGTTTACTGACTTCAGCCCACAGAATTTGTTCGATTCTTAACCAGTAAGATACACGTCTGTGTCATGAGTCTTAAGGATGTGGACCACACACGACCAGAACAACTCTGTACATGGACGACGGCTGAATTTTGCATTAAAATTTGGCTAATCTGAAAGACTAGCCAACTATCTGCAAGTTATTTTACTTTGAAATTGGAGGAGTTGTTCGTTCTTGTTTATTTACTTTTCACAAGATACTAGTCATCATAGATTAAAAATATAAGTGTTAGAGAAGAAGACTATTTTTTAAGACATACACTGCATATTTGGCCTGGTATTTCTAGGCTGAATGCCAGCATCCGATATATGTACTAGAAGTTTATATAAGCAGGGCTAAATGTTTTATTTTAATTTAGCAACATAGGAATTATGTGTAATTATGTGTAGTTTAAATAATATTAAAATTTAAGAAAAAAAGAAAGAAAAAACTGTTTCAAGTGTGAATTATCGTTTTAAAAAACCCAACAAGAAACCCTGTATTGATCAAAATTATATTCAGGTCGTATGTAAAAGGGGAAGGGTTGCAGTAACGTGCAAGAGAGGGGTGAAATCCAGAAACTTCACAGAGTTCAACAATAGAATATTTGACTTATTGTCTTAGTAGGGCTAAAAGTTTGTTAGATTTACAAAACATATTTGAACAAAGTGCTTTAAGCTGCCACTGCCGGTGGAGTCCGGGGCAGTTCCTCTGAACAGAGAGCCGCAGTGAGGTTGGGCTGATAGACGTGAAAGGAAAACGTTTCGCAAGCTTTCTGGGATGTTATGGAAGCGTTCTTCTCCTGAGTTTAACTACAGTTTGTGCAAGATGGCATTAAGCCGGCGACAGTAAGGAGACGTCATCAGCAAATGCAGAGCGTGTTGCTGGAAAGCGCAGAGAGACAGCCGGGAGTGGAACTCCACCAGGTGAGTTAGCTTTAACAACACACCTATCCCTGCTGATAGCCCTGATTTGCATTGTCTCTTTTCATATCTCGTTTCAATAAATACAGATATAGAAATTTAAAACAATGTATACTTCTCAGCCCCACAGTATATCACATCAGGTATCCTTTTTCTTGGTGATTTGCTGTTGAGTTCCACCTGTTTGACAACTTAATGATGTCTCTTCTAAGGCACACAAAATACAATTTACAGATAGCATATTCCAATTTTTTTGTTTGCTTTTATCTCATCTTCATCATTCAGCGTCTGCCTCTGTTTTGTCTCCTGTCTCCAGTCCTCTGAACGCAAAACCCGGCTTTGAAGCATTGTTTACAAGTAACATAAATATATGGTGTAGGTTTGGCCCACCTGCTAGGAAGCGGGTGAGAGGGGTCTGAAGGGGCTTCAATAATCCCCTTTTCCTGCTTTGTAAGCACTGTTACTGACAGCCTTCCACCCACCTAGAGAGTACATGCATACACACACACATGTGAGCTTTATCTGTCAGTATCTGTTTGGTTTCTTGCACTGGACACCCGCCAGTCCAAGTTCAGATGCCCGCTGCCACTGGCAGACTGCTATTTTCCCAGCATGCTCCCTTAACAAAGTTTTTTTTTCCTTTTTTCAAACCTCCAAGAAAGAGTCTTTGGGGAAAGTGGGTTTTTCTTCACACTTGAAAAGATGGTAGGAATAAAGAAGCAGAAAGGGAGGGAGCAGGAAAAGGTAAAAATGGAGAGAGCTTGGGGTGCATTATAGTATGTCACAGTCAAGAAAGTTATGGAGGAACACCGTACAAAATGCTGAACAAAAAAAACAAAAAAAAGACATAAATAAGTTGAGTGAAAAAACCTCTCACAGCCTAGTGAGTCTCCCTGAAAACTGAGGCTTCTGCTCGCTCCTAAGGCTTGTCTCGCTTTCACTCTTTCTTCATCCATCTGTCTCTGTCTCACTGACAATAAGAGGCAGAAAAGTGATTTCCACATAACGGATTGTTAGGACTGACACTAAATCCCCTGATTTACACAGTCACAGTAGGGGGAACCAGACAAATGCATTTTCACTGTTTACATCAGCCCGCCTCACAAACGCGCGCACATCACATCAAACCACTCACACGCACGGCCAAACGCACACCAGAATCTAAGTCAAATTTCCCCTCACGCACACAAACTCCAACACAAAGGTAAGCGAGTGTGCTGCCCGACCCCCTGCTAAATCTATTACCCGGGCTCATCTTGCCGAAATGGAGTCCTACCTGGCAAAAACAGCAGCAGGCGCACTAGCTTCAAATATACTACACTCCAGCCAAATGTATTGTCTGCAGAGATATTTGCATGTGATCGGGCACGCTGGACAAAAATACACTGCTAGAGTGGTTTGTTTTGTCTTGGTTCTCGCTTTTTTTTTTTCTTTTTTTTTTTTTTTAGAAAGGTTTCCACAGATGAGTGCTTGAAAAACAATGCATTTGTGTTTCCAGCCAGAACTCGCAGGGCCGATGTACTCACATCTCCACATCCCAATTGTCCTGTGCGCTTGAGACACAGGTCTGCAGAATAAATCGTCAGGATTATTTAGCTCATCAAATCATTTCGCCATAGTTCACAAAGAGAACAAAGCATCACAAAGACATTGCTGAGGCTCACGGCTTCGACTGAAATGAAAAAAAAAAGTAACATTTAAACAAGGCTCTCAACATTATTTGGGGGAAACGATTTTTTCTTTTTTTTTTTTTAAATGACCCCTTTTCCCGTTTTGCCCCTACATCATTTCTGTTCCCCTCCACAAAACAAAAATGAGGTTTAGATACAAAGCCAGGGCCATGGGTTCCTAATAGATTTACCCCAATGCCACGGCCGCCATTTATCCTGCTCCAAAGCCACACAATGCGGCAGAGTGCTCCTGAATAGCACGGGCAATTACAGTGCACGTGTGGGTTTTCTAGTGCGTGCGCTCACACATTGCTCTCCCTCTTTTTTTCAATTCCTAAACCCCCACTACTCCATCTCACCATCCTCTACGCCTGCAGGCGCACACACCACACGCATACACCTTAAAGCAGATGTAACAACATTAAACTACGCAGCCATGTGCACTTTGCTCTTTCCAGAAACTGAGGTGGTTGCCATGGCAATGTGTTTTTTTTGGTATCTTTTTTGTTGTGACTTACCCTAACATTTTATTACCCATCATTATGTATCATTAAATACATAAATATTAATGTATAAAATAGGGGTGATGGGGATGGGAGGAGAAGTGACTGTGAAATTGGGGGTGCATCTACAAAGAAGAAAACACCTGAAAGGGGCCTTGGTGGTTTGATGTCTCTTTGCTATATAATTTATGTGTGACCATCCCTCTGTGCATTTTTACACCAAAGGTGTAAGTCAAAGGCTTGTTTATAAAATGCTAAATAATACTAGTAGGGTAGCCCTGCAAGATCAAAGGGATGCATAATCCAAGTACTAATAGCTTTAATAAGAGTCGAGCATGAGCTTGCTACTTTGCAGTTGACTTAATATCAATAAGTTTTAATAATAATATTTCAAATAGTACTGGTTATGTTTTTCCTGAGATATGAGACTGTAGGACCTCCATTTCCACTTAAGAAAAAAAGGAAATCTAATGTTTCGCCTGTTTGCACGTCCCAATCGGCATTCTGCATCGTGTTCGAATGTGGCACCAACCCATCTTTCTTCTGGTCCACCACTCCAGCCAGCAGCTTCGTGGCCTCGTCCGACAGCTGGATGTCTGTGTGTGCGTGGAGGAAACGCTCCACAAAGTCATACGGCGACATGAAGCTGTCCTCATTCTTCTTGATGCTGGCATACTGTCATTTTTTTTTTTGGGGGGGGGGGCAGATACAAACAAATATAAAACACAAAGACACACACTAATCGTTAGAATTTAATCAAAAAGCAAAACAAGCATAAACTAAACAACAGGCTAAAAGGCTTTGCTGATAATGAGCAAACACAAAAGCAGAAATATATGAGCAAACCCCACCTTCTCAAAAATGGCTTTCAACTCTGTGGGGTCGGCCCTTCTTGGCAGAACTGCCTGCAAAACAGTAAGTTGATAGTTAATGATTACATCTCTCGTGTACATAAAGCGAACAAAGTGGTTTACATTAAATGTGTAGCACAATTAACACCCTGGTAGGTCTCACGTCTGTAATTTCAGCGAAATTGATGAGCAATTTCTTTTTTGTTGCAACTCGTTCTTACAAGTTGGATTGGGGACCTGCGACACAGAGGATGTTTATTCGTTTAGGAGATTGTTTTATGAGAGTGCAGTCAGGGGCTGTAATTATTTAATCATTCGTGGGCAGCTGTGGGTTTGATACAGCCTCGGCAGAGATGCAGCAGCGCCTCAGAGGTGAGGAGGGAGTCGGGCTACGAGGCAAGCTCTCAAACCCTCCACTGAACTCATGAACTTTGGCTTTTGATGACCAACAGAACAAGATAGTGAACAAAGAGAACGAAAAAGGGTGGCGCGGCATAACTTCTTGGGTTAGGGGAGATATGTGTGAGGGGCCCTGAATGCACCCGTTCTTGTTCCACACAGGTAGGAGCCAATCAGGGTGATTCATAATCATATACCTGACATGGATGCCTCCTGCCCTTTGGATGGAGGCCCAGAACCACAGTCTCATTTTTAAATGTGTACAAGAACAGCTGGGTACCATAACAGAGCAACTGTTTTAGAAAGAGAAAGCCTGAAACAAGGGAGTTTTCACCTGTATTGAGGAGGGAAAGCCACTATCTCAGGGAGCTTTGTCCTTATTTGATCTGATTTCACCTTTGCAAGTTTCTTTACTTTTGCCTGGATCAAAGCTTTCAAAAACCTAGCAAGTCTCACTTTTCCATCATATCACGTCTCTAGGTTCTGCAGAAACCCATTATTTCCTCTCATAGTTGGCATCTCATAAAAAGGCCTAGGAATATACTGCCACAAAGCCAGAAGTTGTCAACTTCATTTCAAATCCAAAGAATGAAGAAAGTAAAAAGTCCCAGATCTACAAAATATCATATAGGAAGTTTCTGTAACAATATATTTAATTTTATTCTTGGGATTCTGACTGTGTAGGGATAAAGGCCATGCATATTGACATGACCCTTAAATAACTCCTGGGACCTGCAGGTAGTTTATGACAGAGATGGCTACAGGTAGCATGATGCTAGCCAAGGTTACAGGTGACTACAACATGATTTTTAGCACCAAGTAAACTGGAGCTGTGACCTGGCAATAAAACGGGCACATTAAACAAAGAGGCAACGTGTCCTTTATTTTTCCTCACGGCTCAAAAGGCTCATTGACATGTACTTTTAGCTAATATGAATATTAACTAGCTAACCGGCTACAGTAAAGCCTCAATGTCATTGCCGCCTGGTCAGTGTTAAATTCCGGCACATCCTCTTAGCAGCTAACCGGCAGTTAGCGAGCCCCGCGCGCGGACGCCCTCACGCGCCCCCGCCTCGGAGGGGAGACTCCCGACACAGAGGACCCTCCGCCGGCCGGAGCACAGCTGCACGCTGATGGAGGGGGGGGTGAGGGGGTGTGGGGGCGAAACTCATCAACTGCTTACCTTGGCTGCCATGCTAGACGAGCTCACCGTTGGTTACCGTAAGTCTGCGTGCACTTCCTCCTGCGTGACGACGTTCCCATGGAGATCAGGCGCCCGTGCAGCGAAAGGAGGATGAAAGAGGATCAGCTGCGCACGTGGTGGTGAGGGGAGAGGTCATCTGATCCGTGGCGTCTCGAGCAGGTCGGATTCATTCATCGATCTGTTCGTTTAGTTAGTTTGGAGTTAGTTTGTGAGGGAGTTTATTTTTGTTGTCAAGGTTCTTTCGGATACCCTCGAATCATCTCCGCACACAGAAGAAGTTCATGCACCCGTTTTATTTATTTATTTATTTATTTATTTGTTTGTTTATTTATTCATTTATTTATTTATCTGTTTGTTTGTTTGTTTGGAAAACATTCACAGACTTGACGTACAACAATTAAACAGTTCAATATTTAACTGCAGCCTATTGTTAATTTTAAGATGAACCGAACTTACAAAATAAATCAGAATCAATAACAAGTACAGCCTACTAATGGATGTCTTCCTCTGACATGTATGGGAAACGAGAAAGGCATTCATTAAAAAGTGTTGTAACTTTCGATAAAAAGATCCTCTGACTTTTATGAAGGTGTGAAGTCTTTAAAGAACTAACTTTACTAATAGGTTAACTAATATAAATCAGTCAGTTTTTCATGGTCATTCAAAGCCTCCAATGGAGACATTTCTTTATTCTAGCCAAAATCATGATCCATGACTGTTAGCTGACCATGTCATTGAATTGACGTGTAGAATTTATTGTAGGACTGAATACTTTTTGCCTGTTGGAAGAATTAACTTTCAGCTTGAAAAATGATCCCACCATCATTATTATGTGTATTTCAAATGTCATTGTATACCTGTCACCCAGCTAAAGAGGTAGTAGCAACCGTCCCTGCAGTCATGTTTTACTGGACGTGTGCCAAACAAAACTAAGTACTTTCCTCGCAATGATATCATATACCTGGCTTTAATGCAATCATTGAGAGTGTCTGGCTTCTTCTCTTTAGCCCGCTGTAACTTTATTTTTGTCTATCCGGATGTTAAAGATGGTTTATACACGGTTGTTCTGTATGTAAACCTAATTTCCTTCAGCTGATTTTGTTGGAGTTTTGACAAAAACATTTACTTCTGTTTCGCCTCATTTGTTTGTCTTGTTTAGTTTTTTGTTTGTTTTCTGTTCCAGGCATCTTTTGAGTATTTTGAGCCAATGATTAAATCAACCTGCATGTTTCCTGTCACGATTCTGATTTGGACCCAAGAACACCCTGAGGCAGACGGTCAGTTAACAGGATTTATTCTGAGG